CATTTCTCCTATAGCCTTGCTTAAGTCCATTCGGGTTTTGTTTGCAACAGTTGCATACCGTGACTATAAGTTAAGAGAAGTCTCTTGGAGTTGAAATCTTAGATTTGATGAAAAGTCAAAGTGTTTGATTTTATCAAATTTGAAAATGAATTGTATGTTTACAAGAAGATAGTGGGAGCATTTTCGTATTCCTAAAACGACATTCCTATGTTTCAATCGTTGAAATAATGGTTGTTAAAGGATTTATTCTCGAACGATATTGGAAAAGCAACTTGATCTATAGAGATAAATCTAGAGGGTTGCTTGACTCGTTTCAATCTATATAAAATGTTGAGAAGATGTTACATGGAGAAATTGGTTTACTCTTAAACGGTGTGTTGGAAAGGTTCCGAACATGAAGCAACCGTTGATTTAGTAGTAGAAACCTAACACATGATTACTTTAGAAGTAGCAAGAAATTGCAATCTGGATCATGATGTTCATAAATGAACTTGGAGTAGTTGATATTGTTGATCACATGTCATTGTATTGTGATAATAATAGAATCATTGCGAAAGCAAAGGAACTAAGGTCTCATCAATGTCCAAACATGTATTAAGGCGGTATAATCTCATCAGAGAGATAATACATAGAAATGACGTAAAGTAAAGAAAAGAACAAATTTCCACATTTAACAATATTGCAGATCCACGGACAAAGAGTTGTCATAACATAAACATAATCGTCATGTAGACTTATGATATTGAATACATAAGTGATTGGATCTAGTGCAAGTGGGAGTTTGTAAGTATTATGCCCTAGGTCCAATCAACTTTGGGCATAAATGCTTTTGATATATATATATAATTAATTCAATTTATGGCATATCTATTATTTAATTAATAGACAATTAAATAAATAATAGAGTCCGAAGATTCAAACCTCCGTAATTTGTTAATCACAAGGAGTTGTGATTGTGAGATACAAATTGCATCTGATTGAATCTTAAATCATCCATGGTCGTAAGTAATAACGAGATACGGATATCATTATTACGGATAGACCATCACGTGTGGCATTTCTTACTTGTGAAGTAAGTAGCTGATCTCACAAGTTAAAATGTGGTGACACTTAAATGAACACGTGGATGTTTTGTTATAAAACAAAATATTGGAGACCCATCGAGAGATTCCACACGGATAACTATCTGAGTGTCAGTGGTTAATCTCTAGCGTTCGGTAGTGGAATTGGTCCTTTGACTTGAGGTCGTCGTGGTACCTTATATGAGGAGAGTCATACTTTGGCGATGTTGGATGTTGCTCTAAAAAGGGCCGCTAATAAGACATCGTTCGGGTACGTCAAGAGTCGTATGAAGGTTGTGATTGATCAATAAAGGATTCGTCACTCTTAGATAGTAGGAGATTATGATCTGCGTTTCATTCAATTAAGTCGATGATGAAATCCTTGGCCAAGGTGTACTCATAAGTCGAAAATGAGTTTTCGACTTATATTGACTTAATAGTGGAGTGAAAGATATGATCGATGATCGAGATTGACACAATTCCATATCTCGTAATTGATCGGATCATATTGACGAAATGATTATAGTTTCACGGTAAACGAACGAATTTGGTTTTGTCATACCACGTGACATTTCCCGTCACATTTATTGCCCTGACACATTGCTAGATGTCAATCAGGGACAGCGAGTGTAAATTGACGATAAATTAAAAGGGTATTTTAATTTATCAATTTTGATTAGATCAAAATAATATTTCACGTCGTTAGGTATCGTGGTCGGGAACCTAATGGGTCGCACACAAAAGAGAATTGGAAGATTGCAAATTGCCAATTGGTTAATTTAACAATCGTTGGATAAATTAATTAATTGAATTTGTTATTTATATTCCCGAATTAATTAATTGGATTAATTAATTCACGGGCCGAGTTTAATTAATTGGATTAATTAAATATTGGACCGGACCGGGCCAAGCCCGTTTGGGTTTATATAAATACATGGCTAGGGTTTGAGGTCCATATGATTTTCATTATTCTTACTGGCACAAGAGAGAAAACCCTAGTAGCTGCAATTTTGTTCTCTGTGTGGATTACCGTTGGAGGCTGGACAATTGTACAGTTGTGGATGGTGAATCAGGATTGCTGGAACGAAAAGAATAGCAAAGAAGTTTGCAGATCTGAAAAGGTACAATCTTATCACAATTTCTATCTAAACACAAAGGTGATTCTTGGTGGGAATCGAAAATTATTTTAAATTCCGCTATGCATGTATAAGTAGATTCCCAACAAAAGGTGCATTTGGTAATGACTGTGTGTCTGACCTATCGTTCTGTGATCACTGTGTGCTCGGAAAGTACCATAGAGTGTCGTTCTCCACTAGTACGCATAAGGCTAAAAGCATGCTTGAATATGTGCATTCTGATCTGTGGGGTCCTGTTAGTAATCTCACATCGGGTGGGAATAGGTATTTCCTATCTATCATAGATGACTACACCAGGAAAGTGTGGGTCTATCTATTGAAAGACAAAACTGAAACCTTCCATAACTTTAACAATTGGAAGAAACAAATGGAAAACCAAACTAGCAAGATGATCAAATTTTTAAGGACAGATAACGACCTAGAATTCTGTAATGCTGAATTCGATAGGATGTGTAAAGAAAGTGGAATAACAAGGCACAAAACGGTTCCCTATACTCCCCAGCAAAACGGGGTAGCAGAAAGAATGAATAGGACCATACTAGACAAAGTGCGCTGCATGATGTTAAGTTCTGGGGTTCCTAAGTCATTTTGGGGTGAAGCCGTTGTAACTGCCTGTTATCTGATAAATTTGACTCCATCGGCTGCATTAAATGGTGATACTCCACATGGGAAATGGTCTGGAAAATTGGGTGACTACTCAATGCTTAAAACTTTTAGCTGTGCTGCCTTCTCTCATCAAAGTAAGGGAAAATTAAAACCTAGAGCCAGGAAATGTGTCTTTCTAGGATATCCCGAAGGGGTTAAGGGCTATAGGTTATGGGATAGAAGCCAAAAAGGAGTTAAGATCATCGTGAGTAGGGATGTCACATTTAATGAGAGTGAGATGCCTTGTCTAAGGAACTAAACCGAACCTGTAAGTGAAACTGAATCAGGTGAAGAAAGAAATCGGTTTAAGGTGGAGTTAGGAAAATTTAACACATCAGTACCTAGTATTTCGAGTGAGGTGGAGATTCACGTCCAAGAACCTGAAGAGGAAAATGAAGTAGTGATAGAAGAGCATCCTGAGGAAGAAAATCCATTAGCTAACTATAATTTAGTTAGAGATAGAGAGAGAAGACAAACGAGAGAACCTAGGAGGTTCGGGTTTGAATCTGAATTGGATTTTGCATACGCTAGTTACGAAGAACTAGTTGATAGGGAGCCGGAAACTTTTGAAGAGGCTATGAATAGTGGTCAATCTAAGGAGTGGCTTAAGGCTATGAAAGAAGAGATGAGTTCTCTAGAAAAGAATCAAACTTGGGAGTTAGTACCGAGACATAAGAATAAATCAATCGTTGATTGCAAGTGGGTCTTTAAGGTTAAGGAAGGTACTAGTAGTTCAGAACCCTTAAGATTTAAGGCTAGGTTAGTAGCGAAGGATTACACACAGAAAAAAGGTGTTGATTATAACGAGATTTTCTCACCAGTTGTAAAGTATACTACTATTAGGGTCATGCTCACATTGGTTGCGCTCTTTGACTAGGAACTTGAACAACTCGATGTAAAAATCGCTTTTTTATACGGAGAGCTTGATGAACAAATCTTTATGAATCAACCAAAAGGTTTTAAAGACAAGTTAAAACCTGATTATGTGTGTTTTCTGAAGAGATCCCTATACGGTCTAAAGCAATCACCTAGACAGTGGTACAAGAGGTTTGATTTCTTTGTACTCATTATAGGATTTCAAAGAAATAAATTCGATCACTACCTATACTTTCAACACAACGAGACTGATAACAATTATTTTAGTTGGATCATCTCCTAAGTGGATAAACAATATAAAAGCAGACCTTAGTGGAGAATTTGACATGAAAGACCTAGGAAAGGCTAAAAAGATTCTAGGCATGGAAATAGAATGAAATAGGTCAAATTCCATCGTATTCTTGCATCAGTCTCCATACATATCAAAGGTGTTGAAATGGTTTAATATGAGTGACTGCAAACCTGTCACGTTGCCTCTTGCAAACCATTTTGTTCTATCTAAAGAACAAGCTCCCTGCAATGAACGTGAAGTGGAATACATGAGTAAAATTTCATACTCAAATGTGATTGGTTCCATAATGTATTTGATGGTTTGCACTAGACCGGACTTAGGATTCGCTGTTAGTACTCTCAGTAGGTACATGTCTAATCCAGGTCCTGAACATTGGGAAGCATTAAAGTGGCTTTTAAGATATTTGAAGGGTACAAGTGACGTAGGTCTAAAATTTAGTGCTAATAAGGAAGACGTGAAATTAAAGGGTTTTGTAGATGCTGACTATGCAAGAGATAGGGATGGTAGGAAATCAACTTCCTCTTACGTATTCATCTTATCAAATTCGTGTGTTAGTTGAAAATCACAGTTACAACACATAGTTGCACTATCCACTACAGAGTCAGAATATATTGTCACCACTGAAACAATTAAAGAGGCTCTATGGTTTAGAGGTCTACTTCATGAACTAAGTGTCTTGAATGAGTATGTGGTTGTGTATTCTGATAGTCAGTCATCCATACATTTGTGTAAGAATCCTATTTTTCACGAACGCACTAAATATATCGATGTTAGGCTACACTTCATTAGGGATATAATATCACAAGAAGTAGTAAGACTTGAAAAAATCCACACACAATATAATCCTTCGGATATGGGCACAAAAGTGCTGCTACTGGTAAAGTTTAGAAGTTGCAAGGAGCTTCTAAATATCGGTATAGGTAAATGATTTCTAATTTTATCGATTTTCTGTTAGAGGTGTCACTAATGGAAAATGTTTTCTCTTTGCAGATCCTTTGACACCAAGGTGGAGATTGTTAGACATCATGTTGTCAAACGACCTCTCGGACGATGATGTAAACCAGTTTTATCAGTCGACATGAATGACTGAACGATAAATCAACATCGAATAATGGGATGACCCGACTTAACGTTGTTTTACCTATTGGATGGCTAATAAACCTTTGTGGCTTGTTGGTGTGCTATTGGGCCATAACCCTAGTCGAGCCCACTTACCATATGTATAACTTACCTTATTGTTTGTCATTGGTTTATTATTTATATTGGTAACTCTCATAGCCTTCTAAGGTCCCGTTTTTGTGAAAGAACCCGAGAGAGAGAGAGAGAGAGGCCGTGTCTTCTTCTTCTTCGTGCATTCTACTTCTTGATCTTGTGTACATCTTGCTTGTGTCTTTGTGACCCTTACCTGTGTGGTATTCATTCTTTGTGAGTGAGCAAACAACAAGCAGAAGGAAGAAAAGCAACCATAGGTAGAACTCGTGAGGTTGGCGGCGGGTACCTTCGGTTTTGGTGTTGATTCGGCGTTTTAAAGATTAACTGAGCCCGAAAATCATCTTGAGCAGCTTGAGGAAGATCCTAACAATGTTGAAAGTGTTAAAGCAAAAATATTTCAAGCTCCATAGATAAAAAATGCTCTACTTGAATTGGCAATCGTTGATGATCCTAAAACAAAAAGTGAGGCGGGGTGTTTGGCAACATACGAAATAGAAAATTTTGAATTCTTACTTGGGATGGTTATTTGGTATGAAGTGTTGAATAATGTTAATAGAGTAAGCAAACATTTGCAAATAGAAGACATCCATATTGATATTACTATAGACCATTTAAAATGGCTCATTTCATTTTTCAAAGGTTATAGAGAAATTGAGTTTGAATTCGCTATGATTGATGCTAAAGAGATCGCAATTGAATTAGACATTAAACCTATATTTTGTGAAAAAAGAGTTATAAATTGAAAAAAACAGTTTGATGAGATTTCTTGTGAAGAGATGACAAAAAACAGTTGAAGAATCTTTCAGAGTCAATTATTTCTTATATATAGTAGATCAAGCTCTATCATCGCTTCAAAATGGATTTGAACAATTTCAGAAATATGATGATATTTTTGAATTTCTATTTGACTTGGAAAAGCTAAAATCCATTGATAATGTTAAGTTGAAGTGTTGTTACATTAATCATGAAAATTATTTGAAGCATAACATGATATCTGATATCAATGTGCTAGAATTATTTTCTGATTTGAAAGTTTTAAAGGAAGCAATATCTTCACAAACTAATGGAGCAATTAATGTGTTAGATTATATTAAGAGAATGAATTGTTGTTTTGCAAATACTTGGGTTGCTTACAGGATATTACTAACTATTCTAGTTACCATTGCGTCAACTGAAAAAAGTTTTTCAAAGTTGAAATTGATTAAGTCTTATCTTCGATCATCTATGTTACAATAGAGATTGAATGGATTAGCTACGATTTCTATTGAAAAAAATATCGGAAAAACTTGATTTGAGTTGTTTGATTACTAAACGTAATAAGACTAAATATGATGCTAACCTAATCTATCGAGTTGTAAGTGATATTTTATTTTACAATTTTATCTTTTAGATTGTACGAAGTTTTTACTTGAATATAGATATATTTTTTATTTAAATATTGTTACAAGTGTAAAAAAAATATAGGGTTTCAAAATAATTTTTCGTTTAGGGTCTCTAAATTCTCAGGGCTAGCCTTGACAATTTAAATTGTTTTTCTCTTCAACTTTTACTACCCATTTAATATTCAATTTTGCCTCGATGATTAATTCTTATAGCAATTCGACTTGGGTTTCAATCTATCTACAGAACCCCATTCTACTTCAAATTTTTGTTTTCGATTTTCAAGATTTGTTATTTGCCTATAGAAATTCAACACTCTCGTACGACTGTTAGTATTATCGGTAACTAAAAAAGAAGAGTATAATTTATTCACAACATTCAACTTGATCTAGTGGATACTATTGACATTCTAAAAAAAATGCCACCAAAGCTGTTGCTAAAATTATTGGTAAATTCGTATTTGTTTAGTCTCTGTTTTTCTATAGGTCTATAACTATCTGCTTGTATTTGCAAAATCGAAGTCTCTGTGTTCTTTGGGTTTTAGTGGATGCAAAATTGCGAGCTGTTTGGTGATATACATCTTGTAAAAGATTTATTATTATTATTATTATTATTTTAATGTTGGCAAAACGTATATAGTGTTCATCTTTGTATTTGGTGATTCTGGCTTTGCAAAACAATGTGATAGCCATGGAAATTGATCAAGTATAACTCTTTTCGATTTAGAAAATTTTCACTTACAAAATAACACAATTGTATATAGATAAAGAGTGTGGTTAATGTTTTTCTGAGATCCCCGGTTAGCTCGTGATATGATTTTACCGATTTTAAAAATGTCTTGTCCATCTGTATCGAAAACTTTCTTGTTGTGTCAATAATCAGGCACCAAGTGAGACGATATGCAAGCTATTATTTTATCTCTTAGGATCCGTTTGATTGAAACGAATTCTATGAAAAATGTCACATTCCAGTAATTCGTTTTCTACTTTGGCTATTTGATACGAAAGTGGAAATTGAGTTCGAATTTCAAAGTACAAACACTTGAAACATGTTTTTGACCAATTCCATGGAAATTGAATTCCTATGATTTTGATGGTTTTTTCTTTTTCGACTTACATGGAATTGGCTTGCCTTTTCCACATTTGCAATCAAACGAACTCTTAGTATACTTTTGTTAAATTCATGTTGAAAACAAACATGTCACTTTTCAATTAAAATGTCAAACAATTTGCTCATGTTGTGCCAGATGAGAATTAAACTTACCTGAGCTTACAGTGTTAAAACAAGAATCTT